ATCTAAAGAACAGACTTGGGTGAGAAAAGTATTTAAATACCGGTAAATATAATTTCAAACTGCATTCAAAAACTACCATCTGAATGAGCTACATCATCTGAAGGAGCAAAGCTTCCCAGATTTTACCTAATTCTGTCAGGGCATGAATTTCCATAAGCGCACAACATGCTTCCACCATTACTATACAATAGTACAGCTTTTATTGTGCATTTAGACAGGAAAAACCCAATTTCACGGGTCTAGTATAGGAGGTAACTGGCTCAATTGTCATAACTGTGAGAAGTATACTGGAGTCCTAGTGGACAATCACTTAAATATGAGCCAACAGGGAGCAAAAAAACTTAATGCAATCATAGGCTGCAGCAGTAACAGAGAGATAGAATTAAGATCAAGTGAAGTATGAATACCACTTTATAATACCTTGGTAAGACCAGAGTTGAAATACTGCATGCAGTTTTGTCGTAATGATTTTAAAAAGATGTTGAGACCAGTGATGGGATTCAATTTTTTTACTATCAGCTCTGTGGGTGTGACTTGGTGGGCATGGCATGGTGTGGTGGGCATGGTTTGGTGAGTATGGAACAGAAGGATAATGCAAAATCTCCATTCCCTCCCCACTCCAGGAAAAGGATACTGCAAAATTCCCATTCCCTCCCCACCCCACTAATCTGCTTTCTAGCTCCATTCTCCTGTACAGGGCAACAAAAGGAGACCCAGCCTATTAATTGGGACTCAGGAGGCAGAAAATTGATGAGGGTGGGGCCAGCCAGAGGTGGTATTTGCTGGTTCTCTGAATTACTCAAAATTCCCGCTACCAGTTTGCCAGAACTGGCTGAATATCATCTCTGGTTGAGACTCTTGAAAGATTACAGAGAAGAACAATGAAGATGATTAGGGGTCTCGAGGCTAAAACATAAAGAACAGTTGCTGAAGTTTTCTATGTCTAGTACAGGGTTGTCAAACTGATGACAAAATGTTGTCACATGATGTATTGCAACACATCCAGCCCACGGGCCACGAGTTTGACACCCCTGGTCTACTATAATGAAAAGAAGTATGGGTGATATGATAACAGTGTTTTAATATCTAAGGGATTGCCTGAGCAGGGGATTGGAATACAACAGCCTCAATGTCCCTTCCAACTCTGTTATTCTGTTATTCTTTTATACTTTGAATCAATATAGATTGAGTAGTGGAAGTTGCAAACTATCATACTTCTATTGGGAAAACTCAGTCTGCAGAAGTGACATTTCTCAGAAGACTTATTTTTTCAAGAAAGGCTTTTATAATATTTCCCCCCACTCTTCAGACATCTGTAAAAAGGAAAGCCATATTGCTGAATAACCTCTTAAAATATTATCAGTTATTTTCCTCCTGTCAGCATTCCAAATATTATCCAGAATTAAATCAGAGTTCAAGGCATAGCTTTCATCAAAGGTCCAATTTAATAAGAGAGACATGTTGATACATCTGTGGAAAACCCAAATCTGAAAGCTTCCTGGGTTTTCCACCCAGTTGAAAGTTCAAGACCTTGCCCCCATACCCACAAGTCCATCACATAGTCCAATCTTCCTCTGCCATGCTGGCATTTCCACCCATCTAGTTCCGGTCAGGTGCAGAGATGAGTAGACAAAAGATGACCTT